GGGCTGGCACTGGCAACCGCCGCCGGGGGCGCCCAACGGTCCATGGCCGTGGAACGGACCCGGATATGGTCCCGGGCCACCGCTGGGCTCTCCGTCCCAGTCTGTACCGCCTTGGCCATCCTATCCCGGAGGCTATCCGCAGCCTGGCTATCCGCAACCGAGTATACCCGGCGCTGCCGCCGGAGGAGGGTGGCCCGGGTACCCCAATCCTTCCGCAACATACTTTAGCACGGCGACGAGATCATCGTCGTCGTTGTTAGCGGTGCAGTCGACGTCTTCCTCTTTGTCAACAACGGTAACGCAGCCATCCGTTCGCCCGCGCGCAAACTCCGACAGAAGATGGGGATGGCAACATCTCGAAGACATGGGCGGGATAGCATATATCCTCCAACGTACGTCTATCCTCGCCCCCTTTCCCTTCGTTCACTAACAGATCCTCCCGGCCGGTAAACAGTGGAAATAGGCACCCCCCCGCAAAAAATAAAAGTCTTCATCGACACAGGCTCCTACGAGCTCTGGGTGAACCCAAAATGCAACACCTCGGCATCGGAAACGCTCTGCCAGAGCTACGGTAACTATTACCCCAACAAATCCAACTCGTCGGCCTACGTAGGCGGCGACTTTGCCGTGACATACGGCACCGGCGCGGTGAAGGGGAGCTACTGGTCCGACATCATGAGCATCGCCATGTTCCAGATCCCGCAGGTCCAGTTCGCCGTGGCCAACGACAGCAACTACACCTTTTCCGGGATTTTGGGGTTGGGGTATTCGTACCCGTATTCGATCAACTATCCGTCTATCCTAAACTTGATGGTTTCGCAGAAACTAATCTCTGCGCCGATATTTAGTTTAGGTTTGGGTGGTGATCAGGATGGTTTCAGTACGTGTAATATCCGTCCCCAACAAATGGTAATGTGTCTAATGGTGGTGAAGGTGAAATCATCTTTGGCGGCATAAACAAGTGGAAATTCGCCGGCCCGTTGGAGCCGGTTCCCATCTGGCCTCCCATTTCTCAGCAAGATCCGCATTGGATCCAGTCAGCCACCCCCCTTTTCCCCTTCTCCCTCAACCAACGGCTAACATGTTTGTAGATATTGGGTAAACATCACCTCGGTGGGGATGACCAAACCGGGCCAACCGCCCGTCATATACACGCCGCGCGACAGCTTCACGATGCCGACGCTCATCGACACGGGTTCTACCTTGTCATACATCCGCGAGGACCTCGTGGCTCAAATCGGGCAGCAGTTCCAGGCGAGCGTCGACGCGCAGGGCAACTACATCGTCGACTGCGCGTACCGCAACATCACTTCGGGGACCGTCGACTTTGGCTTCAACAAGGGGAGGATGGTGATCAATGTGCGGTACAAGGACTTTATCTATCAGCAGTATCCCGGCCACTGCATGTTGGGCGTGCAGCCGGCGGATGTGGGGAGTACGAATTATGTCTTGGGGGATACGTTCATACGTGGGGCTTATCGTAAGTCCCTCTTATGCAGTGAAGGGGAGAGGTGTAGAGAATGCTAATATGGGTGATGATAGTGGTTTTTGATCAGCAATCCGATGTGGTCTGGATGAATCAGTACTATAACTGCGGAGATGGGGTCGTTTCTGTGGGGGAGAAGGCAAGGGACACGAAAGGTGTTGTTGGTGCATGTTAGAGAGATGCATGGACTGGGACCAGTTGCCGACACATTAACAGGTCGGCTTGTATGAGAGGGACTCGGACTGTGTTGAGGTGCCCCGAAAAGCATTGGGAGACGGCGGCGTGGGTGGTTGGTTGCAGAGGACTTGCTTTCCCTTGATACAGATTCTGCTTTGATGATCGGAGCTGATATCAGATAAGTATATACGAAAAACGGCGTTTGTACATACATACATACACATATTACATATCATGCTAGTTTACATATTTTTGATACCATTCAAGTTCTTATACATCCGGCCCCCGAATAGCCTCACTAATAACCCCCTCCCTTGTCCAAATATTCATCCCAATCTTGCCCCCGCCCGTAACCGGCAACCCAGCATGCAGCGTCCTCTCATCCCCACGACCCTTTGAGTCTAAATTCTCCCAGTAGATGGCATTCCCCTCCACCGGCCGAAAAGTAACCCCATTCTCCCACATCTCGTCGCAGTCAACCCAACCCTGTTCGCACCACCTCTCATCCCTCGGCGCATCCAGATGAGGAAAGTTTGTCCCGCCGCCGGTGGTATCGTTGGCCACATACACGTACGCAAAGAACGAGCTGACGCGATTCCCGCCCTGCGCGGCCGTCGCGTGCCCGCCCGCCGACACGTCGGTGAACCAGTCCGTGTGGTAATGATACCGCTCCGTCGGGCCGTATTTGACTAGCTGCAGCGGTTCGAGGTGCGTGCGCGGCGTGTCGTAGCCTTGGAAAGCGAGGGCGCGGTCCTCGATGCACCGGACCACGGCGTCGCGGGCAACCGAGGTCGACTGGGAGGTGCGGACGGTGTCACTGTGGCCGGTGCTGCCGCGGTCGGTTGTGATGCCGGAGCGGGTAAAAGTGTCCTTTGTGACGGACTGCAGGTGGCCGCGCTCTTCGGGGGTGAGGAAGTTGGAGATGTAGATTACTAAGGGCGATTTGGAGACCATGAGGACTTTGTAGGGCGGGTGTTGGCAGGCGTAGTCGTCGTTGTCTAATCTGAGTGGTTGTTGTGTGTTATCGGAGCTGGCTGTGACGATCTTGTAGCTCAAGAGGGCCGCGAAGACGCTGAGGAGGGCGATGAAGCGGGTCGACGGTAATGGAGCCATTGTGATGTGATGGTGGCCGTTATCGTGTCTCTGATCAGCTCCGTATCAATAACTCTCGTTCAACTTGGAAATTTGTTCAGAGTTGTCTCTCTCGAGCTTTTTCTGGACAGAAGAAATCCCTGGTCTTCATGTGAAAAGGGGATGCGCCGCTTGATACCCCCAAAACCCCGTGCTATCCCCTGCCTACGGTGTCTGTCCCCTGTGCCGCCCGTGACGGTTATCAGGGTTCGACAAATCGAATGATGGATGTCCAGCATGTTTGCAGCGATGAAACAGAGTCCGACCATGAACCCGTCAAAAAGCTTCTTTTCAGCCTCTTTTCAGGGGTTGTTTCTGTCGCAGAGGGCCACACCCGAGCGGCAGTTCATGCACCCCATGTCACACGTTTGCGAGCTCAGGGGTAAGCTTGAGCTCACCCCTGCAACAACGGCATCTCTTGCCGCAACCATCAAATGGAGCTCTTTGCCCATCAATCTTTGGAACACATTCTACAAATGGAGAAATGATTATAGTATTTGAGGAATGTTTGCCGCCATCGAGATGAAGATCACGGTATTCTTTCTCGATATCATCGTGTTGGCAAGCCAAGCATTTGCTTGGAGCCATGTTGATTCGGAATTCACCCAGGAGGGCCTGATAGCAAAGGACTTCACTCTCGTTGCTTGTGAGTAAATTCGGCAAAACTTCTACGATGCGTCATGTGTTGCTAACGTAGGTTTCGGTCAAGTCGTTCTTGTATGTACCCAACCTTATCAGCTCCAATATTCTTCGCAGATCAAATAACTAACAAACATGTCCATGGTGATAGCCAACAGAGTAAGCTACATAGGTACCATGTCACATAATGACGTGCTTGCTAACAGCATCATTGCAAAGAGAACACAGCCAAGCTCTCGAATCCGAATGGCTCTCCATCCAACAGAAGGACCAAAACGACAACCTGATCAGCGTCGACTGTTCGACCACCCCCAAACTCTGCAAGGAGCTCAACGTCCGCTCCTTCCCCACGATCCGCCTCTACCACCAAGATGGGCGCGTCAATCGCTATCGAGGCCCGCGTAAGGCCGCTTCCATAAAAGGCTTCATGCGGAGATCGCTCAGGCCGGCGGTGTCGCAGGTCGACGACAAGAATATCACCTCGTTCACCTCGATCGACGACGTCGTCTTTATCGGCCACATACCAGCAAGCGACCAACTTGTGGAACGGTTCCGGACCGTGGCGGAAAAGTATCGCGACCGATATTCGTTTGCCATCGCCGGCAAGAGGTCGGCTGCCAGCGTGGAGTGCCACAACAACCTCGACGGGCTACAGCATCATTTAACCGCAGATCATTTGAGCACGAGTAGTCCGTCTGAACTGGAAGCGTTTATCAAGACATGCTCGACACCCTTGATTCCGGAGCTGACGAGACGGAATGAGATGTCGTTTTATACCGTATGTTTTTCCCCCAATATTCTTGCACGGCGAACACAACAGACAGGATATTTACTGATTAAATTACGGAGGGATGGTTGGGTGTTTGCAGACACGCAAGAGCCTAGTACACTTCTTTGTGGGAAACGACAAGGAACGCGACACGTATGTAGCCGAGATGCGGCCCCTTGCCAAAAAATATCAGGAATACCTGCATTTCACGACGACGGATGTGAATGAGTATCCCAACGCGGCGGAGATGCTGGGGACCAGGAAGGGAGGATTGGCGGTGCAGAATCCGAATGATGGGCATACGTTTCCGTATACTTGGGACAAGCCCATCTCTGCTGGGACGGTGGAACGGTTCTTGGGGGATATTGTAGAGGGGAAGGTTCAGCCGTTGGGCAATAAGGGAGGAGAGGGGAAGCTAGGCCCGAAGGGGAGGAGCGGGCATGAAGAGTTGTGAACTTTACCTGAACGTACTGTAGGTCTCATTTTGCTCAAACATACATATATAGAGAGGCCTCCTTCGGCAAAAAAAAAAAAAAAATTATGATTGGGATAACCCTTCGAAAGAAGATAAATGACCCGTGTAGGAATCGAACCGACGTACTGGTTGTGTTGATGGTTTTTCGAGTTGAGATTTACGGGTCGGAGGAATTAGGTCGGTCTCTTTTGCTTAGACATAATGGTCTCCTTTGGCAAAAAGGAAAAAGATTTTTGGACTTAAGGGACAGGCCACCTCTGGAAACCCACTTACGACAAAGGTATCCCTCAGCACCCAAATGACCCTTTGAAAATGGATGTTAGAGACCCAGGTGGGAATCGAACCCAACGCCTTGAACAACGCCATTTCCCACCCCAGCCTCGAGGGAAGGTTTTCATCTGTCATCGTGCTGCCCACTACACTACCGAGCCATACAGCATTTCAAAGGGTTGTTGATCATCCGACTTCTCGGCGGTTTATAAAGCGCGGGGCAGGCGGGGATCGAATATGAGATGGAAGTTGAAGTTGGAACTGAATCTCCAGCGTGTCCCTCCCTCATTGCTTCTCCTGCTGCTCGAGCACCCACCGCGCAACCTCATTACACGGCGCACACCAGATATCCTCATCCCCTCCAATCCTCTTCAATACCCTCTCCATAACCGCAAATTTCTCCTCGCTCAGCTGCAAAAACGGATGAAACAAGATACTCATATAACCCCCCTCCTCCAAAGTTTCATCAATCTTCTTCATCAAACACGCCTCAAAGTCTTTCGGCTCCAAGACCTCCTTCCGCTCACCATAATGCTCCCTAATCCCCCCAAACTTGTCCATATAATAAAAAGCATCAACAGCCCGCCACTCAAAAGGCAACACAACAATCCCCTCCTCCCCGAACCCAAACTTTCCCAAAGGCGAAATATACTTGACGCCCCTTTGTTTCAACAACCCATAAGTCTGTTCATTAACCGTCCCACCAGGCGGCCGAAACCCCTCATACTCTATCCCGTGCTGGGCAGCTTTGGTAAAACTCTTGTCAAAGTTGGCCGCCTCTTCCTCCTCGCTGAGAGAAGACCAGACCTCGTGCTGGTAGCCGTGCCACGCGACTTCGTGGCCGCGGCAGCGGATCTCGTTGACCATTTCGGGGTAAACGTCCAGACTCCAGGACTCGGCGAAGTAGGTTGCTTTTATTGGGCGGTTGGGAACGGTGTGTTCGAGCATGTCGAGCATTCGGGGGAGCTGGTTCGTGATGGAGAAGTGCGTCCCGATGGGGTCATGCCACGTGCCCTTATTGACGTCCTGGGCTTCGCCTAGGTTGTCCATTGTGAAGGAGATGCAGGCTTTGAAGCCGTTGGGCCACTTGAACGGGAGGGTCATTGTTTACCCAGGTATGTGAAGATTGGTGTGGGTGATGAATAAAGGACGGGTTGAGCGGGGTTCCTGGAACCTGGGTGGAGGAGGTCGAGAAGCTTGGAGAGAAATATAAAACGGAGGATAGGAGAAATTAGTTCAGAGTTTGGATCTTGGGACGTGATGAAGCCCCCGATCGTGGTAGCATTGTCCAGGACTCCAGTTTCGATAGCACCCAACCCGGGACTGTTATGTCTGGAGAAGAAAGCTGGAGTTGGAGAGAGAGCCCCCGTTCATCCGGCAGTTGCATCATCACTTCATACCGGCCCCGCGCCCCACTCGACTCGTCTCCTTCTTTTTGCTGCCCATTAAGCCCGGACAGAACATGGTGGGGTGAAACATATCCATCACTACAACGATAATGAGTGATATCAGATCATTAGGTACCTTAGTTAAAGGTATACGCTACGGAAAAGCACCCGTGCCATAGGGGTTTTACCCTGTTCCACTAAAATCACCTTGGTGTAACGCCAATCTGGTCCGCAAAAACTGCTCCGAAGCCCAAGCGAACAAACAAGTCCAAAGCATTAAAGTAGAAGCCCAGACAGAGAGATGAACATAATTCCCAAAGTACACCAAGCCTAAGTCGTTTGCACCGCTCTAGGATAAGCTCGCATCCAAAAGTCATTGATCAAGAATATCCCTGCGTTCCGCGACTTCCACGGCTTCTCGGGGTCGACAATAGCAAAGTCAAAGCGACGAATCAGCTATTTGTGATAACAAAGGGATCATCAGCATACGGTTATGAAACAGGTTGCAATTGATAGTAGCAGACTCACCTCAACAAAGGTCTTGTTCAGCTCGATCGCGGCGATATTCCTCCCCAGACACTTGAATCGCCCATAGCTAAAGATCAGCTCAACGGCCCCTTCCATCTCGAGGCGCTTTTCGGGTGTAGCCTCCAGCCACCGTTCAGGCCGAAACTGTTCCGGATCATCGCCAAAGATATCTTCTCTTCTCAGCAGACCGTAAACGCAAGCTCCCACCTTCGTCCCAGGAGGGATATAGACTCCCTTCCAGGTATCCCCTTGCTCAGGCGAGTCCTTCAGCATCACCCCCGTGATGGGCGGCTTCATGCGCAGGCCTTCCCGAATAACAGCCTGGAGGTAGGGCATATCGCGGGCCTCGGCATCAGTCACCACAGGCCACGACAGTTTGTGAGAATCAATCTCCCGACGCATCGACTCCATCACTCTGGGGTTTGTCAATATATAGAGCATCGTGTGCCGGATCGCGCCGGCGGTGGTATCCGAGCCCGCCACGACCTGCAGAACCGTTTCTGATTCGGCTTCGTCGCGCGTCAAGCCGTGGTTGACGAACGACCCGAGCATGTCCCTTTTTACGACCTTTTTCTCGTCGCCAACAACGTACCGCTTGGCAACCATCTCGTTGGTAACCCCAATCATCCGCCCAATTCCAATCGGATCCTTGTCGCTCGGCATCAAGCTTGCCAGAAGAGGCGAGCCCAGCAGTTCCACGACCCACGGCAGCACGGTGAGCATCATGGCCGTCGGGAAGTTTTTTTCAAGTGTCTCGAGATACTCCCACAGATCCGCGTCCGCCTCAAGAAACCCGAACCGGTCCGAAAAGCCGATATCAGACAAAATGTCCAGCGTCAGGTACTGAATCTTCCTGCCAAAGTCAAACGGCTTGTTTGCAGTCATATACTTTGTCTCGATGAGACCCACAAGATCAAGAATGTTGCGGTCCAGACGGGCTTCGAGGCCGTCGACTTCGCGGCCGGAATAACCGGCCGCCAGCTTTGCGCGCAACGTGTTGTGCAGCTCCTCGTCGATTGTGCTGACGACGCTGTCGCGCTTCGGGTTCAGTCGTAGACTCTTGTACCATCTTGATCGTTTGTAGTCGCTCCGCACGGCCCACATGCGCCGCAGCAAATCTGGGTCGTCGGTCAGAAGGACGTTTGGACCGATGCGGGCGATGGAGCCGTATTTTTTTGTGACGTCAAAGAATTCGAGGTGGGCTTTTGTGCTGGATGAGGTGCGGAGGAGCCAGAGGAGGGAAAGGGAGGCGAGGGTTGGGCCCGGGATATGCGAGAGTTTGCGGTATTGGATTATTGTGGTTGTGGTGTACCAGAGGAGGAATGCCGTCAGGGTGGTGAGGGCTGCGGTTGTGAAGTTTATATGGGGGAGAGGGATCCTGGAGATGGATTCTCTGGCTTGTTGAAAGGGGTCTGCCATCTTGAACCCTCGAGAGGCTTTGAGGATATCACAGGCGTGTAAAGAGCATCCCGAACAGTCGTAATCAACTGTCTATAAGAAGGATCGGTCGGGACATGATAAATTGGGGAAGGACTTGTATTTGTGCCGCGTCCGAGACTACACGTTCCTAATAGTCTACCATTGCGTTGTTCATCGTTATCTAGCAGCGGGGTGGAAAGGCACCTCGCTTGAAGCTAACCATGCAGGAGGGACTAGTAACGCAACGTGCCCAAATAGGTTGCTATCTAGAACAAAGTTGTGTGGGAGATGCAAGCCTCGTTGCGGTAGTTAAAGCCACTCACCTTGTTTTGTCCAATCGTCAAGATCGGTGGGAGGGGTAGTTTGATGTGTTGATGCAGGATTTCGGTTAGTGACGACGAGTACCAATCGTTAGTGAGGCAGCAGCATCCTTGACCGAGACGGCGTCCGGGCATTAGTAGAGGTGGTTACGGTAGTATCTCCGTGATAAACCCTTTTGCAAACCCCTCTCTACAGATATTGATTCTGGATGGAGCTCTACGGAGAAGTTGCGACAGCAACCTCGTAACAATACTGCCCTGAAATTTTAACTGGACCGTGCCAAGGAAATCTGACGAGAGAGCGGGAGCGTGCTGAATAAACCAGATTGCTCATATTAAAGACGAGCAGGAGCCACACAGTAGATACTGCGAGGACCAAACTGTAATCTATGGGAAACAGTCTATCGGCTGAACTTCAACCTGAACACGATAACAGTGTGATTTTAAGGGGTCAAGAACAAAGGAAAAAGGCGAAAGAACAAAAACTAACAATTAAACACAGATCCCATAGCCCGGATCAGTAAGAAGATAACAACCAACCACGCACGACGGAGGACTTGAGCATCTTAGAACAGACTTGGAGAGCTCAGAACGGGACGGCCCGAAGAACGATGTCACACAGCTGCCGCTGTTATCACGCAACAGGTGTTCCATTTGGTACTGGCTGATTACTACCAGATACAATGTTATTGTCAGCCACCTTTCGGGGTTGAGAAGATTGCGGGCTAGGGCCTCAATGATTATAAATAGAAAGACACAAACCATATGAAAGTTAACTTGGATCTGAATTCTAACTGTCAGCTGTCTGCGCAGCCTTGATATTCCACGAACAGTACGAATAACAACGCGATGAATCTCTTGACAAGTGAAAAAAGCCATCAACCAAAATGACTTCTGACAAGAAATTCTCTCGCACTGTCTGGATGGAGGGCAGTGATCTTCCACCAACCCCCTCGATGCTTCCTCGTCGTCCTCAGAGTCAGAGTCTGTCTCTGCTACCGGCGGACTCTCGGACGCATCACGCAACGACTCGAGGATGTCTTTGATCACATGGGACTGCACCGCGACAAAGCGATCAGGGGCATACACATCCATGGCAAGGTTTCCCGCAAATCACTAACACGGCAGATGCCCAGTCATTATGGCCCATAGATCTGCATTGCGTAGTTCATGATGTCGATGAGCAGACATGGACGTATGAAGACAATAACGGGATGCGCTATGAGTCGTCACCGAGGTGCCGGTATGGTGTGCTCACTCGGCTGGCTGGTTAAGACTCAATGCTGTAGTTGGTGAACTGTGTGTAAATACTAACACAAGAATAACAAAGAAACTATCATTTCCTCAAGAACATTGTCCCAACAAATGCATGTGAATCCACGCATTTTCCACAACAAGGTGTCCGTCAAGATTGGCCTGCTCTATCATTTGACCAGAGTGGCCCGGGGACTCCCGCGTAAACAGGATAGCAAAAGTTAAAAAGAAAATAAATGCGTCAGCCGCGAA